TGTAAAATGGGATAACGGGATACAGACAATGAGATCTGAACTCAGGCAATGGGAGTGAGAAGAAAAACCAGCAGGACCAGGAGGCGGATTTCTGACGGCACTCTTTGCTAGTTTCACATTCTCTAACCTTATGTGCTATCAGGACACCGTGTCCCCCAGAGCTTGGGTCAGGGCTCTAGAAGTCTCCGTAGGGAAGGAGGCACAGTGCCACGTGACCTGAAGGCCTCACAGGTACTTCTGCTGGTGATGGGGGTAGTCACAGCCTGATGGCTGGTAGATTCCACACAGCACAGAAAGAACAACTGCATAGCAGCTCCACGCAACAGAACAGAACACTTGAGCTGCGTTTTGTAAGAAAGAAAGAAGTGAAGGAGCGGCTTCAAAGCAGGTGGCTGTGCAGAGTTCCCTCGCCGCCACTGTGCAACGCTTCTGTCTTAAAGAGACCACGTGGGGCTAGCTGCACACATAAAAATGGTATCATTAAAAGCCTCCAGTCATTCATTTTGCTTATTAAAGCCACTCCACGATGAAATTCATAATGGAAATCTTAGCTGTCCCTAGCAAGGACACCGAAATACAATTAATTTTTCTTCCCGAGGAGTCTAGAGGTATGTGCTTGAGGTATTGTGTTAATTGCCACTGCTTCATACCATGGCTTCAATTAGGAATCAGAACGGGAGCAACACAAACATGGACCCCATTAAGTTCCTGAGGACTGAAAACTGGAGTTTTCCTCCCCACCATCCTCTTAACAATGACCATAAAAGCTGGGCACTCCATCTGGGGGACTACAGTGACACCCAGTGGCTGTGAAGGAAAACACACCAGTTACAAAACGTGGTTGACACAAGAAGGGGAAATATTCGTCGATATGCTGATATTTTAAATTCAATGCCTCTAAAAATGTGTAGACAGCCACAAACTCATCACAGCATGATCCAAAATCAGGCACATCGGCAATGCATAACAAAACCAGGATGTTTCGCTGCCTTTGATGATTTAGTCTGCCTATTAAAATTCTCAGCTGTATTTATTCGCAATTATGAGCAGATGCTGTGAACTATTGATATTGTAGTGATACAAATAGCGTATCACCATTCGTGTTGTGTATAAATTCAAGGACAAGTCATTTCCAAGGTGCTCCTCTGACCCAGTCAAAATAAATAGCTGATATCAAGTGAACCAAGTTGGATCACTTTGATCTCAACAGTTTCTTTCTTTTTTATATATATATAAATCTTTATTGTTGAAAGTATTTCATATGCCCCCTTTTTTCCTCCATTGATTCCCTCCAGCCACCCCTTCCCCAGGCTCTTCCACAAAATACCACAGCCTGTCGAGTTTATTTTGAAGAAGTGGCATTAGAAGAAGTTTAAGTTTAAAAAATTTGGCTCTCAAAAGAAATTTCAATTGTTGTCCTGTTGATATTTGACTCTGTTGACTAATGAGTTTGCTGACTGCTGACCTAGGGACTACACATTTTAGTCATCTTTCTCTCTCTGTTCAAATGCAAACTCTCAAAAGCTGTGTTTTTGTGTATGTGTGTGTGTGTGTATGTGTGTGTATGTGTGTGTGTGTTTGATGTCGCCAGGATCCACACACAGAATGTGCTTGGTACAAAACAGGAAATAGATATTTGCTAAATTCTCTGAGGAAGGCAATAGGGGAAGCGAAATCAGGGAGCGTTCCTAGGTTTTCTTAAAATCTATAAAGTGGGAGGGGAAATTAAAATACCCAAAATGTTTTTGTAGTACACCCATACACAAAAAGAGTAATCTACTAAAGTGAATACATAGAATAATTAGAGAAAATGCTAAAACTATCAACATCTCAATGTTGTAAAATTATGAATAATATTGCTTCTTTCTTGACATTGTTGTCTCTTATGTACTTACAATGAGCTGAATTATTTTTGTATTGAAAAACCATATATATATTTTTTTAGATAACAGATACCACCCCTCTCTTTTGGAATTCTATTTATTGAAAATTCGTTGTGTCAATCACAAAGATATCAAGGGTGTCTTCTCAACAATATACAGAGCTGACAAGCTAGTCATCAAAATGTTGGCAAATCATTTGTCTTTAGTTCTTTATATCAGTAGCTCTCAAGGCAGATTAAAGGTGATGGTGCCTGTGCTTCATTCTACTGACAAAGAGCATCTGCGTTTCATATCCCCTTTAAGTAGGAAAAACCTGTTCTAGTTCTTTGCATTAATTTTAATATGTAAATGAAGAAAAAGTTACTTAATATCGCTATTAGATTGAATGGATATTACAAGAGTATTTAGAATTACAAGAGTATACAGACACACATGTGCAAATTAAATGTGTGTAAATAAACACCTCGGTTTTATATTTTATGCTGAGGAAGGCCAGCTGTGGTTATGCTGCTATATTGTTAGATGAAGAAATGGAAGCTGGTAAATCAATTACACATTAGCATTTGGGTAGCATTAGTATCTATATTTTTTCTTTTTTACTGTTGTAAAGTATAATTGGCATAAAAAAACAAAAAGAATACAAGGAAGCTCTAGAATTAAATTTTTTTCTCATGAACTTTGGTCGAATGCGTGGTTGATGAAGCCATGAGACAATATTCTCACACCTTTGATTTTATTTCAGTAGTTTCCGGAAAATATAGTAATGGAGAAATTTATTTCAATTTGATACCTACAAATCTAATTTAGTATATAGCTCGAATTACTTCTCAGTGTTCCATTTTAAGCCTCTACATTTAAACATTGGTGCATGTTATTCCCTAATATAACTTGCATTGGTCTCAATGAAAACTGTTGATTTACAGTATAGATTTTTATTACTTCAAGCTATTTGTTAAGGATACATTTTAGTGACTATACAAAAAAAAAAAAAAAAAAAAAAAAAAAAAAAAAAAAAAAAGGTGTTTTAAAGTCTCACCAAAAGAAAAATGTAAGAGTCTAAAATACTGCAATTATATATTATTCTAATTAAGAGCTATGTTCTGACAAGCATAAGTAAGTGAAACGGTTTGGAAGATGGCAGGTAATAGTTAAGAGTTAACACCCTATTTCTAGAAGATGAATTATCATGAATAGAAATAAATTAGTCACAAGTGGCAATGAAGAAAGTACAGGTGGAGCTTTTTCTGCCCAGGGAAGGTGAGGCTACATGGCATGGGCCAGTGTAGCATATGCCTTCAGAATCCAGGTGTTGTTGGCAGGAGCATGCTCAGCTGTCAAGATCAGCTGACATACTGTAGCTCATGGACCATCAGCTGTGACCGGGGGGAGAGAGGGAGAATGGGCTGGGGTTCAGAATCACTGTGGACACTGTCTGACTACCACCAGCTTCTTTCCCACAGGCTTCCCTCTGTCTTCTCCCCGAGGTTCTGGCATGTCGTAAGACAACAGTCTTCAAACGGGAAGTCCACAAACACTTTCTGAAGGGTCCAGGCAATGCAGGGAGTTTTAGAGGAACCACTTTCCAGCATCTTTAAAAAGCAGAACCTGCCTTGTCTGCCAGCATCATCTTTACTCCATTTCATCAAAGGTAAGCCTCTCATCTGAACTGAACCTTACTTTGGCTATTGCTCTGGGTAAACACCCACTAGGCATCAAACAAAAGCAACACTTTTTATATTGGTAGCTAGCTTTGCAAGAAAATGAATGACTTATGACTAAGGTATACAACTCTCAATTCTTTAAACAAATGGAAGGAAATAATGTAGCTATCACTTTAAAAATCACTTCGATGATTTATCAGTAAAATTTTAGACATACAATGCAAAGGAGTTTATGTCTAACTCCCACCCCCCTCTATGTGTGTGAGTGTGAGGGTGTGTGTGTGTGTGTGTGTGTGTGTATCCACACCTTAATCCCTGAAACCTATGAATGTTACTAAAAGAAGGAGTTTGCAACTATGATTGTGTTAAGGAACTTGCAATGAGGACATTCTCTTGGATTATTTGGGTAGACCCTAAATGCTATTGTTCTATGGCAGAGAGGCAAAGGGAGATCTGAAAGACAGAAGAGGAGACAGTAACATGGTGATGACAGAGTTGGCGACCTAAGTGATGCAGACATAAGCCAGGGACTGACAGCTCCCCCAGAGGCTGGAAGAGGCAAGAGACAGATTCTCTGCTGAAGCCTGCAGGGGAAGTGCCTCCCTAGCAATACCTTCCTTTCAGCGCAAGAATCAGCAATACTCACTTCAGACTCCTGGACTCCAGACTGCTAGAGAGTAAGTACTTGGTTGTTCTAAGCCATCTAGTTTGTAGTAATTTGTTATAGTGACCGCAGAAAATTAATGCAGAATTCAAAGCATTGAACAGCATTGCCATAACTTTTTCCTTTCTCTTCTATTTATTATGGGAACATGTTATTTAACACTGATAAATGCAAAAATAAGAAAGGGGAGACAAAAAAGGGGGGAGATAAAATTGTTGCCCATCCTGTCTCACTCTAGCAGAAGGAGAAAAAAATGTATAACTCATTAAAAGATTTGGAAAAATAAACAAAAACCCTCTATAAATCACAATACAACAATGCATTTTAAATGCAAAATTTACTTATTATGTTTATGATTTTAAAATATGAAGGAGTTACTTATTTCCTCAAGAAAAGTTTAGGGTGTATGCTCCCATAAAAAGAACCACCACTGTAGATACTCCCCATATCTGTCCTATAATCAATTCAAAAAATAATCCAAACAACAGTTTATTTATTAACTTCTTTAAAAGTGTTAATTGCGCTACTAAAAATTATTATGAAATATATCCTTCCTTCAATTTAGACTCAATGCCCTACCTCTAAAATTCCCATAAATCATTATTTAAAAAACAAGGGTGGTAAATGTGTATAATACTATTATTTTTATTTCCATCTTTCAACTGCAATACCTAAAATAATAAAGAATTATTCATTATTTTATTTTTCTATATCTGAAGAAAATTTTTGCCATATGATCTAAGCTATACCAAACAGAAAAGCAATGATGTGACCATGATTTTGTATCCTTACCTAGACCTAGGGGAGTCAGATGCTCAAAAAGGGTCCAGCAGTGGTCATCAACGTAATGACACTTCAGGATCAACAGCTGGCACACATCTCGGGCAGTTATGTCACTGGGTACCTCTAAGGCCCTGCTGGTTTCATCTTCACTGTAGATTTTAATTACCTGTGTAGGTATAAATAAGAAAACAGCTAAAATATTACATTAGAAACATTATAGGAAGTCATCCAACTTATTGGTAGAGCTGTTTACAAATTATACAGTTTGCTCAACATCTAATTTATTTATACATTAAGTGAATGATTACTTATCCCAAGACTTGTTTATAACATGTGTCAAATCACTTTATCCAACAATTTCTACTTTTTCCTTCCATGTCTAAACCAGAGGCCAAAGACCATTTAAAGCCATTAGCCACTATTTTTTATATAATGTTATATGTTAATTAAATTAATTATAAGAAGATGTCCTTTCTCTACCACTCTCGTCTATTCAAAAGTTCTATATCTCTTATCAATAGTTTAAATTTTCTATGTGATATTTAAATCCCATAAATAATCCAAGAAACATGGGTGATTTCTTCCCAGATATACTCTAACAGTAAAAGCAGTACAGAAAATCAGACGTTTTGAAAATTCTTATCTATTTCAGGTATGGAGTTTTTGCCAAAGACTTGCTAGAAGTTCACTAAATCCTTTTTCTTTTCTCCCTTGCAATTAATTGTGGCCATGGGTCTGTAGATGGAGCATAAGCCCATTCAATTTCTCACTTCCCGTAAAATTCTTCTCAATGATCAACTCATATGTAATTTTCCATACTAATAATCCCAGGTCAGAATTGGCTCAATATCACCAATTATTAGTGGGCAGTTCTGAGTTTTAGTGAGATGTGATTGTCTGAGCTTTCATTTCAGTTTACTTATTTTGTAGTTAATATATGTGGGTCCCTAAGATCCTAATATGTATTTGGAATCTCAGTGTCTCCCATGATTGTATCTGGGTAGGCCACTGCTCTTAAGAGTGCACCCTCGGTGTCTGTATCTGCGCTAGAGACAGAGCACCCTGTGGGTGGGCCCCTAAAGGATGCTGTTATACCCATTCTGATGACTGGACGGAGCACTGGAGGCTGCTCCCGCCAAAAGCAATGTGAAGATGACCACTCCGGAGAGGACAAGCAGATCCAAGCCTGGGCTTGCTCCATCGTGGAGGCAAAGATGAGCCATGGTTCCAGTTCCCTCAGAGACCACCTGCACATTCCACACCAGGAAATTGGGGGGCTAGGAATGACCTGGTGGCTGTTAAAAGGGTTCCCTGACCTTCCTGACTCTGCCTTGTTTTCTTACAGTAAACGCTCCTGGCTGTTTTCTTACAGGAAACAGGAGCATGACTCTTATTTTTCATGCTCTATCTTTTATGTCAGAGGGGCTAAGTAAATGAAACATTGAAAACATTCTGAAGCCTACGCCAAATTCATGAAGAGGGAAGGACAGAGCAAGAGGTTCAAATGGGAAAATGAAAAAGATTTCCAACCAACCCAGAAAGCCGGTATTTTCTTCAAACTATGCTGGTACAAATTTGAACAAAATAAGTTGCCAAGAATCGAGACACATAAATTTAGAAGAGTGAGGCCAACTTAAATGTCTGGAATAGGAACAAGTACTCATTTTAAATAAATAACACCTGCTGAGAGCAAAATGTAATACTTTTCAAACACATACGTTTCAAAAAATCCTACTTAATTCTGACATTTATCCAAAATATACACTCATCTGTGAATAATAAAATTGTATTTTGTTTAAAAAGGCAATATATATCTAATACTTTCAACAAGAAAGAATTTAAATAAAAATAAAAAGTTATATTTTGGCTGATTTTCCATGGTAGTAAGTCCCTGTCATCTTAGATCTTTTTGGTAATTTTGAAAAATCCCTTTCACTACCAATGGGATGCCTTTGTTAAAAGTCTCACTTTATTCCTATTTATTTCTCCTTAAAGGTTATGAAAAAGAAAAAATTAATCCAAGCCTTACCTCTCTAACAGAGTTTAATGTGCCTCTTGCCAAAAGTATCACTTCACTAAAACTTCCTATGTGAGAAGAAATTCAAGTCACCAGAAAGGCTACAAGACTTAAATACTTTTAAAACGAAGTTAAAAAGCTTTTGTGATCATGTAAAAACCAAATAACAGGGCTGTTCTTAAGAATCGCTATCGCCAAGTACCTGTCTCCTGAGTTCTTTATACACTGAGAGGTAGAACAAAGAGTAGGAGATCATATCATCATGCTATTTAACAAAAGGATATTATACATTTCCAGTTCAGTAGCCCCAATTCCCAGCTTACTTTATACAGTAAAAAACGGGGTGAGAAGAATATTAATCATATCAATTTACCCACAAGATCATTTGAAACTGTATACCGGCAGGAAGAAATACTGCCTAGACCCTGAAGAAAGAGAGAAACTCCCTTTGTTTCATCCGTGGACAAACACTTGGCTCGCAAAAGAGACAGGTACTGATAAGGTCTGTCTACAACATCCCACCAGCGTAAACAGAGCTCCCAAGGACAGCCAACCGTGTAGACATACAGGCTGTGTTCTGGAAGCCCTTGTGTGTCGCTGCAATCCTGGCTATCAGAGCAACCTTGGCCTTTGGAGTGGTTTACAGATTAAAAAACTGCTCTGGAAGCACATGGCACGGAGCAAGGAGAAGGTAATACACAGACAGAGTAGCCGCTGCAGGGGGTGTGCTGGAATGGGGGCGGAGCAGACCTCTGTTTTGGCTGACATCCTTATCAAGGCAGTTGATACACTTTCTACCCCAACTCCCCTACACTGCCCTCCTTAAAAATTAAGTGGAGGCAAGAGATAAAAGAGTAACATAACCCAAACAGTAGACACAACAACGTTCAAATATAGAGACAGCAAGACACGGTTAACTTTTCAGGAAAAGTCTCGAGGCCTCCGAAGTCCTGAGACTAAAAGACAGAGAATATTTGAAAAATAAGACAAAGGCCATCTCTGAAAAAAATCAAGAGATCCAGTTTGAAAGTCAATGCAAAAATATATCAAAATTGCTCCCACAGCACACCAAGTATTTAACTCACCGGAAATTCTGGTTCTCAGAGCAGACTGTATGGAATGCCTTAGGAAAGCCCTGAGCAAGGGCTCAACAGTCAGCCTCTCCCCTCCTCCCTGCAGACCCCAGGGATGGGGTGGCAGGGAGAGCCATGTCCTTTTCCAACCTGACCCATGCACGGGTATTTAAAAGGTATTTAGGGTTTTCATCTGGTCATTTGGCAATGCCATCAAGCAGGAAGGGGCACTGGATCCAAAGGTAAGTATCTAGCTACTGGATAGCTTCCCCCATTTATCCAGAGAAGGGAGGAGAGAAGAGGTATAATCATTCAGCAGTGGGGGGGGGGGGGGGGGAAAGCTAGAGAAAAAAAAACTCATATACACGGACAACAGTATGGTGGTTAGCAGAGGGAAGAGGGGTAGGAAAGGGTAAAGGAGGTAAAATATATGATGACGGAAGATTTGATTTTGGGTGGTGGGCATACAATGCAATATACAAATTATGTATAATAGAATTAACTGTGTACTTGAAATGTATAATTTTATTAACCAATGTCACCTTAATAAATTTATTTTTTAAAAGCATTGATTAAACAAATATATGAAAGAAGAAAGAAAAAGAAAGGAAGAAAGATTGAAGCATGATTACCTTCTGGTCAAAGTTTCAATTTTAAGGTAAATTTATTTTTCACATTAACTATATTTTAGTACCACATTTAATTCTTATTTATTATTTAACTTAAAATAATTTAAACACCATATTTAATACCAAGATCTTATCATGATGAAAAGTATATATAACTTTTAAACAGAAAAAATCATTCATTTATTATATCTATTAATTACACACAGATATATATTATATATATATATATATATATATATATATATATATATATATATATATAAAATAAGGAACAAGGACCATAGAAACTTGCTCTCAACTATATCTCAAAATAAAGCTTATTTGTACAGCTCTTTAAAAGTTTACCATCCAAGTAGAGTAGGATTATAAAGTCACCTTTTAATGCTTGTTTTTTTTTTTCTCTATTATTTTAATACAAATGCAACTGTGCCTAAGTCATATGAAATATTTTTACATCGAGGTCAGACTAGCCCTGGGTTTTTACATTCTTTTAAATACAGAACGCAGAGTCCTAAGATAAGAGTAAACATCTCAGATATTCTGAATTAAGCAACTTATTGTGTTCCCTTGAAGAGAATGGAAAATAACATAGTCATCAGTACTTATTCCAAATCTCTAACAGAATGTTATGTTTTTTAAGAAAGATTCTTCCAAAAGACCCTAACAGCTCAAGAAAAGTTGTAGTTTCCTACGTCCATCCTGAATTAAGTACTTATCTAGAGTAAAACAGTATATAGTTTAGAGAAATCAAGTAGTAAGGAGCCTTAAATTCTTTCTAACAAGAGATATTCAACAATACACTTTATTTCACCATGAGCAGTACATGTCCAATTAGTTATATTAACTCAAAACATATCATCAATATAAATAATACATACATTGATTGACACAGACAGGTCCATTCCATACCCCCGTGGCTCCTTTCAACGTTATTCCCTAATGATCCTTTCTCATTCTCAATCTCTAACCATACTTTTTCTCAAGTTTCTTGAAATAGCCATGCTCTTTCCCGTCACAGGACATTTGCACATACTGTTTCTGCTGCCTGGAACCTCTCTCCACCTTCTGCTGGAACACCTCTTCTCCACCTTCTCTACACAATCCCTCTCAGAGAAACCATTATTGCTGCCGGAAAGCTCTCAGCGACTCCCCTAGTTTAGGTCCAGGCCCTTGGCTACACATATGCAGGTGTGCGACTCTGTAATTACGATGCACCAACCTCAGAAGGCTGCATGATCGCAGGGATGATGTTTGCTTCCCATTATATCCCCCGCAGTTAGCACAGCTCTGGGCACATAGTGCACAAACAAACATGTTAGTTTAGTGATGAGTGAAACCATCATGTGTAGCCCTGTAGCAACAGCATTAGGGATTCCAACATAGCAGCTTTAAAACTTCACAAGGTCTGAAAACTTCTAAATATGTTTTCTTATTGATTCCAGAGAGG